AATGACAAAGCGCAGACATGACGTATTAATTATCAATAACATATAAAGTTCAGAGAAAAAAAAATTATAAAAAAAAAAGAAGTTACAATTTGTTTTTATTATAATGTATAGTAAGAGGAAATCATGTTTTTGTCTCTCTTATAATTTTGTACGCATGAACACCTATAACTTCAATTATCGTCTGAGTATTTATTTAGATACAGAAGTTGGCAAACAGGAGCTTTTGGATACTCAGACAATAATTGAAGTTATATGTATTCATTCGTAGAAAATAAGGAACAGATAAAAAACACGATTATCTCTTACTGTACATCGTAGAGAAAAAAAAACCATAATCTCTTTTTTTTCCTTGTGGACTTGTCGTTCGCTGAAATTTATTTGCTTAGAATTAGACCCCGCCGGGTCCAACATTTCAGATGCGGAGTCAAGAGTCTGAATCGAAGACCAGCCCGACAGACTTTACTTGTAATAGTCTTACGTGCAAGAATAACAGAGAGACGAAAATTCAATTGAGCTACACACTGCATTTTGTAATCGAATATTTTCATGTGAGTTTTATTTAGTGAAATTGAATATTTTTTGTTTAATGTGTTTAGGTTTCTATTCGTCATTCACCAGTCTGTGGACAAGTGAGTGAAACACAAGAATTAAAAAATCTTCTTGATAATGCTGATCGACGTAATAAGGATCAAGAACAAGTATTCGTTTTTATCTATCTTTTTTTCTTTTAATCATTTCTTCAATATTTAGAAAATTCTTCAACTTGAAAATCAAGTTCAACGTTATTTATCTCAAATTGGTTCATTACAAGATCGTTTAGCTGTATGTTAGAGCGAAAAAAAAAGATTTTCTTCATACTATTTGAATATTCTTATTATAGGAAAGTGAAACTGATAATCAAAATCTTCGTAATGAATTACATCGACGTACGCCACAAGATTCCTATATGAATAGAACAACTCGTCGTTCACCACATCGAAATATTCAACAATTAATACGTCTTTGTGATTTATTTGAATCAAAATCAAATGATTTTAATCAAACAATAACTACTAAATCACAAGACTTACAACGATTATGTTCACAAATATCTCAAACTATAGTAGAAATGTAATTGAAAATTTTTCTTTCGTCTCGTCGATTTGATCCGATTATTTTCTTTCATGAAAAAAAGAACAGAACAATTGTTATTGCCCATCTTCTTCTGACAACAAATAATATGATTCATAATCTTGATTTTGTGATAAAAGTGTTCATTTGATATATATCATTTCTTTTTAATAACGATAGAGAATGATTATGTATATATTTTTTCTTTGTTATAAAACCTTCAGTATTTGTTTTCTTCGTAGTGTGTTTTAATTGATAGTATTCTTTAATAGCTAGAAGAACATGTAAAATAAATAAATTATTAATAGATAAAGATTAAGAGAGGGTCCATCAGAGAATCCAGCATTCTGCCATAGGGATGTCACATGAAAATTTTTATATTTGGATCTAACTATGCCTATTCGATAGCCCATGTTGAGAAACCTCTGTAGCCAGATCTTTAGGCCAAACAAAAAAATTTTCATCGAGATACGAGATTTTCAAAAAAAGAGCTATTTTCAATTTTCTTGAAAATCAGGCAAGCAGTATTTCGCTTCTTTCTCAACTATTTTGCGATGGAGCTTTTTGAGTGACATCTCGTTTGAAAGAGCAAAGAAAACTGAACAAGATGAGGTATTTTTCAAGTCCCGAACATGACATACAGAGACCCAGAAGTTTTAAAAACCAAAAATGGAAAACCTGAGCTTTGGGGTATTTGGTAAAAAATATGCTGCTAAATCTTCGATGCCATTTTTTTTAAAAGCCTATCTTGTAGAGAAAAAAATCTCTACAAGGTGCACTACAGTTGATAGTTTTGGAAGGTCAGGAAAGTGCTTAGAAATACAAAAGACTGAGAAGGATTACTGTGGTCAAAAAATAAAAATTCCAAAAATTAATTTTACTTGACTTTTCGATAATCGATAAAGATGAAACTAAGATAATTGAGGGAGGAGGTGATCTGTAGAGACGTTTTGGAATACATTTTAATGAGTTTTATTGAAAGAAAATTATGAAGTTTTTTTGTTGTGCATGGAGTGTCGTTTTGCCGATATTTCCGATGATGAAGAGGGTCGTTTGGGAGATGCTGCGCGTTCGAGTTGGTCTATATTGTAAGCTTTGTTGCGGAGTTGTCGCCGTTGAACCACCTCGTCGATGGCTTGCTCTTCTTTGAATGCTTCAACATCGTCATTATCACAGTCTTCGATTTTGATGTTCTTTTGTCGACTTGATTTGAGCCGCGAGAAATAACTACGAATTTGACTGGCTTTCAAAAATTCATTATTTGAAAAGGCGAAGACACCTTTGTTTTTCAAACATTCCATTTCGGCGGCTACGGCTTCCAGTTTCCATCGTGTATTATTTTTGATTCCGTCCTTGAACTTACCAGTCAAATACTCGATCTGCTTCGAAGTGAGTCTTGTGACTTTTCGGACTTTCTGAAGTGCCCATCCATCGGTTAAGTTGGTTGTAATTGAGTCTAGACTGCGAATAGTGGTGGCGTTTTGAAGAACAACCGAGACGAGTTCTCTTTGCCCGATTCTCTCGAGTTTCGAAACGTAAATCTGGATCCCGGTGTCGCGTAATAAAGGGCGTTCTGGAAGAAGCTGATGTTTTCCGGTAGCGAGATGGTTGACGAGATTTCCGGGGTTCAAAAACTTCTTCACACACCCTTCTTCATAACAGTCGAAGAGACGACTGACATTGGTATCCTTACCCATATCAAGAGATTGTTTNAAAAAAACGAATAACTCTTTTTGTGATTTATTATGAATCGCTTTTTTTCTAATGATATTAACATTTTACTGGAATCAGGTTTTTTGTTCTTGTTGTAAATCGTAAAATTTAGGTTTCGATGAATAAGCTAATCGAAGTCTGTAAGAATTTGTAAAGTAGTCATTCCGAAATTCATTACAAAGAAAGCTCTATTAACAGTAATCAATGTGCTTCTCGTGAATACTATTGATTGATCGCTTGATTCTCTTTCTGATTTATTATCTAGTATCAGTTGTATTGTTTCTTCAATGTCTACTACAGAAAATCATGAAGATCTGCATAAATACTTTGCTACGTATCGCATCAAATATTAGAAGAAAAAAGAAAAGGGATAAGTGACTTATTGAAATAAATGTTAGAATCTCAAATATTTCATAATGATTATGATTTAATCAATGAACTATCGAATATATAACTCTAAATGCCATTAAAAGTCATGTTCGATATGTTAAATTAATATAATGTTTATGACTATGATATGTAAATTTCTTTTCAAAATCATCAATAAAATTTCGCGGAACATTATTGAAATCAAAACTAATTGGTGTTATAATTGTTGAGGATTTACATTCATTATGAAAATCTTCAATTAGTACGAGACCGGGTGAATTCTGCAGTTTTTTTTTGTTTTCAGATTTGTGATCTTCTATATATGGATCCAAAGATAATATTCATACAAGAACTCGGTCATTTTCTCATGCATCCTTCAACTAATGAGAAAGTGACATATATAGATATGATAATATCTTAAAACAAAAAAGAGTCATCATGTATTATAACAAAACTTTATTAAATAGTTAATTTAAGATGCAAAAAGCGAAAAACAAAATCCTAATGATTTGATTTTCACAATAAATGTTTTCCTATACAAGGAATTGCTACCCTAATAGATGTATTCAGTTCAAGATAACTTGTTGCCAATATGTCAAGCATCTCAGTTGAGAATTTTGTTGATAATTGTTTCAATAGATTACGAGCATTTTGTAGTCAAATGCTAACAATCCATAAAGTATTCTAAGGTACTGAAGTATCTAATGGTTCCTATAAGATATTGGTAGTAGGGCAGCTCGAGGGTGGGTGTGGGTGTATGTTAACTAGCTGCACATACTCTAAACCACACCCAGATCCTTTAAACCATCCCCGACTCTTAAACTGTGACGGACGCTGTTGACATATGATTAAAGACCGTATATCAGTAACGTCTCGTAATTACTTCCTTATTGTATTTCTGAAGAATCAAGCCAAAAAATGAGTAAATTCTAAGTGTTCTGTGTCGGTATTATACTTTGCCTCGAAAAAATCACTTTTGCTTGAGTTTGACCATTTTAAAATATGTTAATTTATCATATCCTAATCAATCTTTCACTGACTTTTTATTATTCAATTTGTTTTCGGTCTTGATCATTGTCAACGCAAAAGAATATGATTCATCAACAATGTTTTTTTATTACCTACGTAGAGTTCTTTCCTGGCGAAAATAGCACAAATCTATGGCAATAATTATAGATATCTAGTTAATCCATTAAAAATTAAATTCTTTATAAAACAATGTCAAAGTTCATTCACAATGCGAATTGATTGTTTGAGATGTACTTAGTCCACGACTTCATTCTTAATGATTAAAAAAGTAAATTTCATACTAAATGAGATAGACTAATTAATTTATTTTCATTTTGAACAGCGCATTTTACTGTACTTTTTCACTGGGAACATTGTTCTATGAAAGGACTGACTATTAATATGGAAAGATATGTTATCAATAAAAAATAATCATGATTTCTCTTCTACCCTTTACTAACTTAATTCTAATTTACTTTGGAATCAATTGAATTGCTCTATACATTCATACGGTTTTTCTTCAGCTCAAAATAAAATAAAATAACTATTTAAAACTGACACTATTTTAATATGTCTTGTACATTCACGCTCACCCTTTCCGCCATCGACAACGATCTCTGGTACCGCGCGCGTGCGCGTAAGTGTATATTCAGGAACGAGAAGTGGAGAGAAAAAAAGCGACAACTTTTTGAGAAAAATATTTTTCGAAAAAAATTAATTTATTTTCTCACAACACATGAAAGAAATTGTAAAGAAACATTGACTTATTTGTTGAGTGCAAAAACAAACAAATGAAGTCATTACTCAATTGAAAATCGTTGAACTCGCTTATTGTAACAGTCAACGACATACAGATTGCCATGCCGATCGAATGACAAATCTATGGGACAGTTCAACTGGTTTGCTTCTTTTCCCGAACCATTTCCACCAACAATCACATCTCCATGTGTCGCTCCTTTGCACCAACGCATCACTCGGTCATTTCCCCAGTCAGCCACATAGGTTGTGCCCAACTCATCGACGAACACTCCTTTGGGCGCCGACAATTGATTCAGAGCATTTCCTTCACCTTTACCACCAGCCACAATAATTCCTTCTTTCGTATCTTTCTTCCACTTCATCACACGATTATTATTCCAATCTGAGACGTAAACAGAATAATCTTGATCGACAAAGATGAAAGTGGGACAGTAGAGTTGATCGAGACGATCACCTTTTTTATTGCCACCTGCCACCACTACTTCATTCATTTCTCCCATTTTATATCGTCTTACTTCATGTTTTTTTTGATCAGAGACGTAGAGAAATCTCTGATCATCCATCGTCAAACCGAAACAATCGATATTATCGATGATAATTTCTCCACTTGTTCGATTTTGGCGAGACCATCTCATCACTCGTCGGTTTCCTTGATCACAGATGATGAGGCTGTCTGTTTCTTTATCGACAATCACATCTCTTGGATAATTCAACTGATCAGCTCGATTTCCTTGTCCATTGTCACCAGCTACTGCTTGACCACTCGTTGCATCAGACTTCCATTCCACAATACGGTGATTATCGGTGTCAACGATGTAAATAGTTTGATCATCATCCACATAGATACCCATAGGCGAATAAAGTTGCTTGAATTCTCTACCTTCCCCATTGCCTCCAGTGACGGTCACCCCATTCTGTGCCCATCGGGCATTTTCGAAAATATTCGGGATGAAAGCTGCACAGAGAAAGAAAAGAAATTCTCAATAAATTTCAGGACATCCTAGTAGAATTTTCATGGAAGTTGGTAAGATTTTTCTGAAATATCTTGAAATCTTGTACAATTTTTGCAAATCATCTCAAATTTTCATGAATCAGTTTCCTATGTTTTAATGCAATTTTCTTCCTATTTCTTTTAATCTCCATGCATTTTTTAGATTTGTCGAATTTTCTTTGCGACGATTCTCCAGAATACTCAACATTTACTTCGATATTCAAGAGACTTCTGCCGAACTTCCTGCAATTGCACAGAATTTTCTCCAATCTTGGTCAACCTCTCTGTTTTTTTATCAACTATACGGCCATTGTCACTTAGCAATGATTTTCGTAACATTTTCTGAACTACTCGGAGGTTTTAAAAGATTTTTCAAAATTGTTCCTAATCTGGAGAGTTCTATGTGAATCTTGCAGAATTTTATGGTATCTCATGCATTTCCACTGCGATTTCCCAACATGTGCGCAATTCGTTTTTTAAAATTACAGAACTTGCCTAAGTTTTACTCGAGCTTCCAGAGGTCCAACAGAAATAATTTTCTTCAGCTTTGAAAACATTTAATAATCTATATTCGTTTGAATTTTCATCGGGTTGCACAGGATTTCTAGTAATTGTGTGAATTCATTGTAACTCTTCCTTATTTATTGCGCATTGAAAGCCGTTTGCTGAAAGTATCTCGGAAGTTTCTAGGAATTTGCTGGCATACTCTTGCTCTTTTTTATTTGTCGGGTTTTCCCTCATTCTCATTGAATCTCTTTGCAAGTGTCTCGGAGTTTTCTAAAGTTCAAGTTTTCTAAAAGTTCTTGGGCTGTCTTGCATTTTCTGTAACGACCCTCATTTTCGTAGAGTTGACGATGATCATCAACAGTCTCTTGTAATTCTCTTGAGTTTTCTAGATTTGGTGGAAATTTTTCGAATTTTTCCTGGCATTCGAGTGGTTGGTGTGAATGTACTGAAATTTCATGCTTTGTTCTCGTTCTTCATGCGATTGTTTTGCCAATTCACAACAGTTGAAAGAACATAAAGACAAAGTGACGACTACAGGTGTCTTTTCATTTAACGAAAAGCGGATCAAGTAATACTTGCGCATGTATCTAGACATTTTTTTTTGAGAGCTCTGTTAGGTCATAACTGGCAAGTGTGACTTGAGAATTTGTTCGGATGAGACATCCCGTTGAGATCGAAATAAAGTTTTATCTTTGATTCAAAAGTATTGTGCTTGATCTCATAGAATTCATCGCAGTGAGCAAGAATATGATATTTTTACTGAAATTAGGTTGCATAGTAGGAAACACAATACGACACTTCAGTTACGAATCTCTTTACATTGCGGTAAGCAATAGAGGGGTTTTAGTCTTGAAGTCCTTTCTAAAGTTATGTTTTAACTAGAAAGATGATCTCGGTCGATGTCGATAATTTGCGCTCTATCTTGATTAGAAAGAATCTAAGGGAAATATTATGGCTATTGGTTCGATAATGAATGCCCGTCTACCAAGAGTGTTTGTTCAAATCTAAACTAGATTCAGAGCTCTTAAGTTTACGACTAATAAAAACAGGACAAAACTTTCATTCAAGTTAAAAACCACTGAGGCCTCTGAGAGATAATCTGTGCACTAGAAAGTATCTATCGATTTCGTTTTTGTGCAATGAAACATAGTGAAATCGCCATTCCTTCACTTCGAGAATTCTCGGGATTTTTACTTTGAATTTCGATGAAATTCACGAATTTTACAACATTTTCAGCAGATTTTCGTTATTTCATGAAATTTAATGAAAGTTTCAGAAAGTTTTCTTGTGTTTCCTGTTATTGTTTTGACTTTTGTGGAATTTTCAGCAATCTTTGGCAGTTTTTCAAAGTTTGATGAAATATTTAGCAATTACACTCGAAATTTCAGCNCTTGGACCCGAACCGAAATTTCTTTTTTAACCCGACGCCCGAACCGACCCGAAAAATTTTACCCGAACCCATGGTCCGGTTCGGTTCGGTTTCGGGTACCCGACCGGGTTGCAGTACTCTAGTTGAAATCTCTTATTCTCATGATTACATATAGTATACGAATTTTTCTACGTTTTGGTATATAGTATTCACACAAACAAAAATTTTCTGTTGGATACATTAGTAGGTGTTAATCTCTTTAAGTGCGCATTATTGTGAAAAATATTTGTGAATAACAGAATTACTAGTTTTATAGAGAATTAAGCTCTCTGTTCAAATATATCATAAATCGAAAAGTTAAAAACAAGTATCCTATCCCTTGCAGAGGTGAAAATAAAACTAGACCATTTATTATGTGGTATTCATTATTTTTAAATTTCGAAAACATCCATACACGTAGCTACGCGAATAGTATTGCCTTGATCGATAATAAACGAACATAAGAGATTCTAAAAATATCGTCAACAAGACAGAACTGACCTCCAATGACTTATTCGATGGCTAAAACCTTCAAATGTAAAAAAAACAACGATCTGTGTCACATTTGAGAACGAACTAAGTTCATCTGTTTTTTTTTTCGAAAACATACTAGAAACATGAATTTCTAATGAAATCCGATAGGCACCGGATTGATTATTAGTTGTTATGAATGTGGTCGCCTTCAGTAACAGAAAAGATTGAGAAATATTCCTGCAAGAATACTTTTGACTTTGATATAAATTTATAAAGTTGACTATATGTTTCTGAGGTCAAAGAATTCGAATTTCTAAGCAGTTTTTCAAAATTCTTGAGTTCGATTTTTCCAGTCCGAGGAAACTTGTTTCAAACAAATAGCTGAATGCTATGAAAACATGAGTCAATTGTAGGAAATAAGCTTCCTCTGATCGAAAACACTCATTAGAGATTCGGATTCCTCAACTCGAAAATCTCATAGTCAAGTTTTATGAAAAAAAATCGAATTACAATAGTATAACTCTCATTCATAACTATCATCTTAATTTCTATTCTAATTCCAAACATGCACTTTCCTCTCTGTAATAAGTACTTATCATACCTAGGTGCTACCGATTGTTCTACTCGATTTGGCATAGTATTCATTGAATTGATTGATGATTGATTTGTTTTGTTTACAAACGAATTTTGAGAATGTCTTCCTGTTGTTGATGTTAGTCTTTCCGGTACATATAATTGATTTAAATAAGCAGATATAAGTTTTGCTGCTGCATGACATCGTGCTACAGAACAATGATTTGTACCTATTTGATAATGATATGGACAACGTTCTTCAATCATAAATGAATACGCTGCATTTGCAAATGTTTTTTGTATATCATCACGTGATACACAATAGTTTTTTAATTTAGCTAAAATAATAATTAATGATTCAATACTTGCTAAATTAGCAACACGTGTATCTTTTGTTGGTTTTATTCCTATATAGAAAAGAAAAAGAAGAAAAAAAAAATTCTGTTTGTTATATTTTATTTTATAATAACCTTCAGCTTTTTCTTGTAACCAATCGAGTAAAGTAGAAGTTTGTTCATATTCTAAAGCAGGAAAAAAGACACATGGTTGAGTTAATCGAAGATATCGTCGTCGTGTTCGATCATCATCATCATCATCATTATTCGAAATATGATTTGTTTTATTGTTTGTTGTTGTTGATAGAAGAAATGATTTTAATTCATAATAAATTTGTTGATAATTATCTGTTGCTTCAGTAAAATCTTTTAATGGAATTTGATGTGTTTCTTTTAAATGTTCTAAACATGATGACATATAACCTGATGGAATTTTATCCGGTTTTAAAAATCTTTGTTTATAAATTATTACACCTTCATTTAATGTATACTATTTAAAAACAAATATAAAATTAATAATTAAAAATAAAATAAATAGATTTTTCTTACACGTAGAATACACATTTCAGCTGGAATAAATTGTCCTCCATCTTCTTCATCAACTTTACAAAATATTTGAAAATTAATTATATATATTGGCATTGATAATAATTCACTTATATCAAGTGGTAAATATTTACATGTTAAAAAATTTCTTTCTATACTAAAACGATCATAATGAATTTTTAATTCTTCACATGGTATATCACGTTCATGGAGAATTTGTTTTTTATTTTTGACATGTTGATTTATTATATGTGGTGATTCAGGATTTATTCGATATTGTATACGCCATTCTTCATATTGAATTTTATATGGTTGTTTTTCTTCTTCGGATAAAGCTTTCCAATCATCATAACATGCAGCTATTGCTTCATTTATATTCATTCGTTGACCATGACGACGTTGATATTCACGAGCATAAAAAAATAATGGTGATCGATTTGGTCGTGGCATCTATTAATCGAAAATCTTGAAAGTAGAAAAATATCTCTTCTATATGAAAAAAAAAAAGAGATAAATCGTTAAATGCATATAACTTGCTAAAGATTATCAAATAAAAAAAATAAATTCTCGTTATTTATCAATTTTTTTTCTTGTTCAAAATCAAAGAAAGAAAAAAAAAAAAAAACAAAGAATTCTTCAATCGTTTTGATCAATGCAAATTTACACATGAAAAACAGACTTATAATTACAAAAAAACAAATCGTAACTAACATACATACACAAAACAAACAAAAAAAAAATATAGAATATATATGAGAATACTAAACAGATGAAAAAAACAAAGACAAAGTAAGTTAAGTATAATTTCAAAAATAATATATCACATGAGATTTTTTTATACATTTTAAATGTTTTACTTATCATATAATGGCATTAAATTGGAAAGTCCTGGCATCGGAGGTATGAGACTAGTACGATGACCACGACCAGTACTATTAATAAAAACATAACTATCTGAATCATTACTATTTATTGTAGATGAATATTTGACTGTTTTTCTTATACCACGACCTATCATTATAAATTGATCTTCATCATCAGTATTATTTTTATATGATGAAGATATTGGCCAACGACAATCAATTTCAATTGAAGGTGCTACTCGTAATTTTGATAACTAAAGAAATAACACAAAACATTATTCGTCAGTCAAATCCATCAAATGATTTGTTTTTTTTGAATAAAGAAGTTCCACAATGTAAATAGACTAAAAATATGCTTATACATAATAGATAATTTTCATACAATATTAGTTCCGATCATAGCTGATCTAAATGACATACAAAAACTAATTCTTTCTTATCCTAAATTTTCAAGCATCACAGACTATTACAGATGTTATTTCTTATTTTCATTTCTGTCGGACTAATGTAAAATGATGATGCAATAATGTTCCAAAATAGATAGAATAAAACAGTCTTCCAGTGATTAGCAAGAGCAGCTACATATTTCATTCTCGCAAAGATTGCGCTAACAACGATAATATGTTAAGCGAACAAAAAAAATCATTTACTTTATTCTTCATTGGTGAATTATTTAGTTTTTGATCCGTTGAAGAAGAAAGATTTGTTGATGATGATTGTATAAAAACATTTGAACCTACTGTTCCTAATTTAATTCTATCTAATTCATTTGTCTAAAATATAGAAATTAAAAAAATCAAACCTAAATAATTTTTCTTTTACTTTATTTGGTTGTGTTAAAACACGTAAATTTTTATGTTTTTCAATATATGTCGTACTAATTGAATCAATAACTGATGATGTTGATTCATTACTTATGGATTTAATATCATACATAAAACTATTTATTGGTGATAATTTTCTTAAATTTTTATCTGTTATTTCATTTTGAACATGTTCAGATAATGATTTCATAAAACGTTGTCGAACAAATCCATCAAGAAAAAGACTAAAACCATGATTAATAGCACGACAACAATATTGTATAGCTAATGAATGATGATAAATACATCGTTCTTTAACTTGTATTGTATAAACAGGTCGACGTAATTGTTCTCGAACGCTTTGATGAGCAAAATCACCAATACCAATACGACGAAGTATTGCAGCAACTAAAGCTTCAAATGAACAAACACGAAATGAAGGTCTTGCCGATTGTTCTTCATCAATATTGTCTTTGGACACAAGCCAATTAAGAAGATAAGTTGTTTGATCACGTTCAAATGCATTACAAAATACTATAATTGGTTCATTGATAGATGAATTAACAATTGAATCTAATCAAGAAAAATTTCATTAATACTACTTTCACTTTTAATAAGTCGATATAGAGTAAAACCGTGTATGTCTAATTAATTTTCTAGGAAATACTGTATAATGCTGATTGAATTAGAAATTCAACTATTAGACTGATGATATTCTTAATAGAACTTCGCGACTAAATTAATATTGAAAAAAAAAAGAACTCTTTTTACTCGATTCTCGAGTTCATTTATTAACGATAAAAGAGTACTGACGAATAAATTATCGAAAGACATTCTAATTTACAAAGTTACATATACAATTCTAAATGACTTACTAAATCGATTGCATCAGAAGAATTCAAAGTGTTTCTATACGATCAAAGAAAAACATGATTGTCAAAATTCAAATTTTCATTTCTTAAACTAATAAAAAACTTTCTCAATCTCGATTCGGTTAACATAGTAGCATCATTTTATTCTATGATTGAACAAGTTTTCTTCCTAAATCTCAAAAAAAAAAAAAATGCATAAAAGATATTGAGATCTCCAATTGAAACTCAGCTTTTATCCGCTATACTAACTATAAATTATCAATAAGACTTTCGTTAAATATCATATAAGAATATATTTTTCTTTTAAAGCATATCCACCTATGAAAAAATGTTTGTATATTTTACTAACCACCAATAACTCGTTTAACTTCTTGCCATATTCGTTTATAATCTCCATTAGCACCAACAAAATCAAATGGTGGAATTTGATGTGTTTCACGTGATAAATCAATAGCTGTACCAGTATAACCAACAGGAAATTTTTCTGGTTTAATTATTGTAAAATATTCTTGTTTAATACTTTCAATAAATGAATATTTCATAATAGCTATTTCAGCTGGATAATAATCACCACCATCTTCATCATCAGTTCGACAAAAAATTTGAAATGTTACAAAAAATAAATTTCTTTTAAATATATCAATAAGATCAATAGAAAAATATGAATCCAAAAATTTATTTTCATTAATATTTTTTTCAATAAATGATACTTCTTCACTCGATGGTATAACAGGTGTTATAACATTTTCATTATTTAACATACGTGTACGTTTATATTGTTTAGCTAAACTATGAAAAATAAATAAGTCAAAAATTGCTAATTTTTATTTATGTTTTTAAAACTTAATAAAAAAAACCTACTCTTCATAAGGTTTTCTTTGAACAAGTGTCATTGAACGCCAACGTGGTAATAAAAGTATAATCAAATCATGAATTGACATTCGTGAATAAGCCGGATAAAGTTTCCGATGTTCATCAGCCAAAAAATATACACCTGTTCTATTTACGTGTTGTTTTTTCTTAGGTGACATTGTTTTGTTAAAACACAAAATACGAATAGATATAAATATATATTATTCTCAAAAAAAAAGAATAATTTCGTTTAATAAAATTTATGTTTTTGACGTATTCATAGAAAAAAAACATTAACATTCCATCTTGGTGATTATAAAACTCTAAAACATGGAAATGTGATTGCGGTGGATGATATACCATTGAAAAATAATTCATACCTTCGTTGAATTTCCAGAAAAATATAACGACAGATACAATTTAATGTATGAATAAGAATGGAATAGTCTGCTGAAATATTCAAAGAAAAATATAGGAGTATGATACTTTTCAAAATAGATGGCGTTAAATATTAGTACGTCATAAACAAAAATTAACACTGCACAGATAGGGATAGCATAAATAGACAAGACCATATCTGTAGATAGAGCGGAAATCCTCAGATAATGTTTTCAAAGGGAGTGTAAAACTTCTTAGGAGAAGCTGGTAAGGGAAAGTCTACAATTATTCGATCGCTTTTGTAGCCTAAACCCAGTGAATTAGATGTAATTGACCACGCAGCTTCCGATTATTGACATCTTCTTGGGTGCTAGGTATTCGAAGACCCGGTTCTCTCGAAAAACAATTTTGAATAGTGATAACAATTTTTTTTTTTTTGATCCGTCTATTATCTATTTCAAAACAATAGAAAGATGGCTATTTTTGAAGTAACTTTTGATAGGAACAACTCTGATATCCACGACTCATTACAGTATAATTGAGCTCTGATTTTTGATCTGTTGAAGTTCGATAACGAAAAAACCGTCACAAGTGCTTTATTTTACTACAAGTTTTTTTTTTGAGATTAAAGATAGTGTAGGTGAGGTCAATGACTCTATTCTATCCATACCCTCAAGCGAAATAATAAGAAAACAATTCCTTATCTGGTAATCATCAACTAATTGTATTCAAAGAATGAAAGAATAGGTTATAATAATATGGCTTAAAATAGATCAAAAGTTGAATGAAAAATCTGAAAATGAATTGAATAACATTTGTGTTGAAAGAAAAGCGTGAGACACAATAAGAGTTGAAAGTTTTTACTTCTCTAATTCTCTCTGAGACGCTCTATAAACTCGACAGATCAAAAAAAAACAATTTTGACTTAAAAACGTTTTCCGCGATAGAAAACTAGATCTTTGAAGGCTTAGGGATAAAAATCATGTTGGAATTCAGAATCAACGTGGTCGATTACCTATAATCCACTAAGTTTTGGCTAAAAAGCGATTAAACACTTGGTAACCGTACTATATATATATCTATATATCTATGTATCTACTTAAACTATTTTCATATATCAAATGATAGATTAGGAATAATATTGTATTGTAATATTATTTATCAATGTTGCAAAGATTTGTGAGTTCTTTTTTATCGTGTTGCTAAAGCTGATTTTTGCGAAATTTTATTAAGAAAAACAATAATTCATTAAAGAATATGATCTTTCTTAATGCTTTTTTAAATATGTTTTCATTGATGTTTTTATTATTAACACTCATATATTGATCAATAGCTCTTTTTTTTTCCTATGACATTGACGACATAGTGTCAACCATTTCTCTATCAATATTAGCTGATCCCACAGCATCTCTTCAATAATGTAGCATCTATATTTAACAGTTTTATATTAAAGAGAGGAGGATAATATATTTAATTTATATATGTATATATATATATATATGCACTACTAGCTAAAACTTTCTGTCTCGTCAGATCTCAGTACCTATGAGAGCTTAACGTTTGAGATTTCGTCTGCAGACAATCCATCGATAATGTAGATTAGCAGTAATATTAGCGACAAATTCACTGAAATTAAAACGCGGTTATAATAGATGGTATTCACAGTCACTTTGAATATCGTAACTCGAGAACAGCAACACACTCTCATATACTGATAAAAACTTAATTGAGTCTTAGTATAATTCTTTTCATTATTTCTATGAAGATCTTAAATAAGATCTAGAATGAGTTCTACAACGATCCCAAATTCTTTGTTGATAAAAAGAAAACTGAGCAGTAGTTTGAAAAAATTCTGAAGAGGAGCGTGTTTCACCATGACATATTCTGAAAACAGGAGTTACTAAGATCCAAAACACAGTTTAGAAGAAAATTTGCTAGGATCCTGCAGATTTATGATCCTCAAGATCTTTTCAGGCTTTCTTAAGAAATGAACACAATTGTGAATAAGGTTATGTCGTCATTTTATATTTTTTTGTGATCTTACTGTATACTGTGATTGTCGAGTCAAAGACAATAATGAGAATAAGTCATCATTTTAATAATACTGTCAGAGTAATTGACTATCGAAATATCACAATACAAAGAATCATGGTAGAAACACTTCATTTCAGTTAATATTTATTGTGAAGCGAAATGCGTAAGCAAATGCACAAGAATTTTGATATGATTTAAGTAAAAAGTTGATAAACGCGAATTGAAGTTTCCAGTCGGTGTCACTATATCTATCCAGAAGTTAATCTAATAGATTCTGGACCAGCTACAATGATTGAAAATGATCCTACTACATTTGAATCATATGTTGTTACAACCAAAATGTACTGTGCTACAGTATCAATGAAAATGTTGAAACTGAATTGATGATTACCAGCGTCATCGTCATTTGATGCCATCAAATTGGCAGATGGAGTAGAAGAATTGAAACTGTACTCGTAAATATATCCAAAATTATCTATGTTGCTATCAGATATAGTAGAATCGCGCTTTATTATCAGAAACATTGAATCAACAGAGTTTTCATTTCGAGGAAACGAAGAAGAATTATGTAAGTTGATTTATTCCTTCAACAGTTCTAAATATAGATAGTAGTGTGAGACTGAAAAGTTGAATTTAATTGGACAAAGTGTTACACATGTTTGAAATTTTCAAAATATGATTCTTCATAATTAGTAATGAATTTCTTAATGGGAATTTTACATATTGACGAACACTTCTATTTCAATTTAACTGAATTATTCGAATGTAAAGCATTCGGTAGTCTCTATAACTGTATAGATTCATTTTCAGAAAATTATTTTGTTTGTTTAAAGAAGTCGTCTAAAATCGATTGAGTGCTTACATGATGCATTAATTGGAGAAAAATCAAGCGATATCAAACCAATTGCAGTGATGAAAGATGGTCCCATTACATTTTGCAGAGATGTTGTTGCAACCAAAATGTATCGTGTCAGAGTTCGAAGCATAATTGAGAACATGAATTACATATTACGACCGCTGTCATTATCTTTTACTAGGACGTTAGCAGTTGGAGGTACACATTAATAGGAATTATTCTATATATAAAACCATATGTATCCATGCTACTATTACATAAAATAGCATAGCTTCCACTAATAGAAGCATTCAATCGCATGGCTTGAAAATAGTAACTTGATGCTGAACAATTAATTGCCTTCAAGACAAAACATTTGATCAGTGTTAGTCAACGATGACGACTATTGCGACAGTATATTGCGTACAATACCTATTCCGAGAAAAATAGCATGATAAGATTAGTCTGGATTGGTATCGGTACTCTGTGAGAATATATAGGAATTCAAAAGTACCATTTATATAGAGTTTTCTATAATTAAATAGGAAATATATAGAACATTGATTTCCACTAAGAGACATCTTGAAGGATCTGATGAAGTCTGTGATAATGCTCCAATTTATGAACTATGATTTCCTGCATGGTATCCAATACAATGAATAAGAAATACCGTTTAATTATCGAAAACAATGATCTGACAAAGTACTTTTTTGAAGATACAAAAAAAGAATTGGCCTCGATTTATTGTTCAAGTGTTACACATATATCTGTTCACATTATTATAAACGAAACGAAACTGATTAAAGAGTTAAAAAATATCGTAGTTTTTTTTTTTGTTTTTTTACAATATAAACTCTGTCAAGTCAGTGTTATTATAGTATTTGGCACATGCCAAAGTATAGAATTGAAACTCTTACTACTTAGTAGAGAAAGCTGTTTGTGCAATTCCAGCACGATTAAAGCGTGAAAAATAATGGAGCTACTATCATTGTACAAGAGCGTATTCATCAACATATGTTTCGACTTATTGGTTACCACCTGTTATTAACATGTCTCAATGGTGAAAGATTTTAATCCTAATATATCACAATGATTGTGAAAGAAGTATAACGAATAAGCATTGCTCAATTATTCTCAAGCTCCGCGACTGAAAGACAGACCACGTTACTCAGATGTCATTGCTATGGTATTTGTCATGTATCTCAGAAGGTGATACAGTATAAAAGCAGGCATCAAAGCTTTTTTGCTTTAGTTTTAATTTTCTCAGTAGCATCATGTGCGTGACACATTTTATCAGAATCTTCTTTTTTTCGAAAACAAATAGGAAAAGTTCTTGTAAAATAGGACATTATACGAATGATTTGAAACATGCAGGAAATATAGAACGACTAGAATACGATATATTGATTATTGAAATATAAGCGAAACATGACAAGCAGAGTTTCGAATTTGTTTTTCTGATCTATTAATGATGATTATCCTCACTGGTTTATATACTAAGCTGGTCGTAATTCATTGGATAAGAGAGAGCAGAGTTTTTTGTATTATGTACAGAGTCTGAAGTGTTCAACTTTATGTGAAAGAAAAATTTCAACTCGTTATAGAATTTCGACTTGTAAGAAAAAAATTAAAAATGATTTTTATAAGGCATTTAAATTTTAATCATTGAATAGAAATAAAGGCGAGTCAACGTGTTATTTTCCAGGTACTTTGAATCAACAAATGTCATTAAGACTAATTGTGAACAATAAATAAGTTTTAGCAGTTAACGAACTGAAAAGAAGCTGTTATATTTGAACCTTAATTTTACTAAATTACTCTATGTAAAACATTCAATAGTCTCGACAATTGTAAAGATTAATCTTACAATAATTATTTTGTTTGATTAGAGAAGTTCTCCCAAATACTTTGTGTCCTTACTTGATGCATTAAATGGAGAAAAATAAAGTGATGTCAAACCAGTTACAGTGATTGAAAATGGTTCTGCTATATGTTGATAAAATGTTGTTACAACCAGAAAGTATTGTTTCATTGTCTGAAGAAAAATTGAGAACATGAATTGTCCATAGCCACCGTTATCATCATCTTTTGCTGAGACATTTTCAGCTGGATAAACAGGATTAAAAGTATTATTATATAGATAGCCATATGTATCCATGCTACTATTACATTTAAAATTATCATTTCCGACCATGGAAACATTCAATAGAATGGCTTGATAGAAAAATATGGACTCTGGATAAGTGCTTCTATGACAAAAAAACTTGACTATAGTTAGTCAAAATTGATGAAAACTTCGATTGTCCGGATAGTGACATGATTGTTGCTAAAACAAAGAACAATCAAAGCTTATATAAAAGTTATAAGTTTCTAATACTCATTGGATGACAGTTTTTTGTTAAAATATGCTAGTGAACAGGAACATTCATATTGAAGGCAAAAGCACAAAAAAATGAGCACTGCGTGCATATCAGTACAAGTTGCACTCTGAGGAGAATATGACCCGCAAAAGCTTACAATTCCAAAATTTGTCATATCCACTACATCTATCAAAGTACAGAAGCCAATATTAATACATTCGGATGTGTGTTATACACACGGATACCGTTAAATAAAAGGTGCGTTTTACCACACTCTGAAATACTTGACTCACACAAATCGCTACTTATGCTTCGGATGAGCTATGATGCAAGTACCGTCTTGTACTGAGTCAAAAAACGTAGAATTTGAGACTATGTTCTGTCGTCTAATGTGTGGGTTTTGACGTCGATGCGATTTCATAGCATCTCTTCTTGCGGACAATGTTCCATATGTGTATAGATATCTTTATTCTGCTGTTACATCTAGTCAGCAGACGGATACCTCAAGTGCTGCCTATGTCTGTGATATTAGTGGTTAAATGAAGTTTCAGAAAGAAAGATCTCACATTTAATTCACATGAGACTACATGACAGCATATGGCACTGCATGATAATACATGAAAATTCTAATCCTGCAATTCTAAGTTTCTGGGGATCATATTGTTTTCAGAGTAGAAATTGTATTTGTATTTGCGCATCTCTAAAAAGAAGACAACTTTATCTTTTTTGAAATATGATAATGCTCTGTGGATGGCTTCTAAAGTTTCGATTACGTGCTTTATGTGAATTTCCAGGAAATTCATATGAGTTTTCGAAAGCAGTTTCCATTTTCTCTTGATGGAAGTGTAGGAGATAATGTAAACATGACACACTTCGATTACTGCGTACACAGAGACGTGCATGGGTCGCGCTTCTTCAAAGAGCACTCTGCGCCACCACGCTGCGACGCTGATAGAAAAGGTCAGTTAGGCGGGGGAACAGTACTTATCCCCCCAGTTAATATTCTTAGGGTTATTGAAGAGTTGAATTCAACTTTGTCTCATCACCTCCCATACCTCCTATGCCTGCGTCAAGAGAAAGTGGAAACAGCTTTCGGAAATTCAAATAAGGCACCATACAAACTTCATCGATTATCTCTTTTGTAGTTTTTGAAAGTTGTTGCTCATTTACTACTACAGTGGTTTCGGAAAAGCGTTTAAAAATACTTCTACTGTACAGTGGCAGTCGAACAATCTTCGTCTAGGATAGACTCAACGTTTCAGGCAAAGAAGTCATGAGAACGGGTGGAAACGTTCTTTTCTTTATTTATTTATAATGATAGATACTACAGGTTTTCTTGCTAGATTCTAAGTGTCTAATGTTTTATTATTTCGAACGAAATCAGGAACTAAAGAAATAACAAAGAAATACTGCTGTAAAAAAAAACTAAGGAAGAGGCTAAAAAGAAATAAAACTATTTATCACCAAAAACAATTTTTTGTGATTTTTTGAAACAAAATGAATACAGATTCTATTCAAATCAAGTAAATCTAACTCTTTTTTATCAATATAAAGTATAATAACATTGTTCGAACATGACTGAGTCACCAAACTTAAATTTGACTTTTAACAAAACTTTTTGTATTCTAATCCTTACATGCATACACATTAATATGAAAATATACAGAAAAAAACTTCAAAAAGTATACTATGATGTTATCAAAAAAATTATCTATATTGCTTGAACTATGTAAGCGTTATTCATGTAAATGTTTCTCATGAAATTTTTGAACATGCAGCTAAATATCTGTGAAAAAGAAAAGTAGATTTTTCTTTCTGAAATTTATTTAAGTTAGGCGCATATCTTGTGATCTGATTATATAAGGAAGAATTGATTTGTAGCGAAGATGTTTTCTCAAAGTCTGGAGTTATACCTCATAGAACACGCACTGACGTCCATATTCGAAGATGTGATTTACTTAATTATGAATGTGCTCTTTTTTGACAAATTCGTCTTTGAACTGCTAGAAAGAAGATGCGAAAACAAAGAATTCTTTTAATTAATGCACAACATGAGTTTACTGAATATGTTTCCATTTTAGAAAGATCTCTTTATGTTCGACCATTGTGAATACACATAGCATTAATTAGGCTCTATGATTATGGGAACTCTTTTCCCTATAAGGTGTGTGGATGGTGTGCTTGTGGCTGAAAGTAGAACCAACGGGAACAGAAACAGTTAACATCCACACCTTAATTGACTAGAATAAATATGAGAGAACTATATTTGGTATTGTAAAACCACTTGTGTTAGTCGTGCTTACTATCTCGACAGTCGTATTCATTGTTGTACTTGTTGAGGCATCTATAAAATTAAAACAAAGAAATTAATAGAAAGAAAATGATATGTATACATCATTTTAAAGATGGAAAGCTACTGGTCTGAAAAGATCAAAATGACATGAGACTGTAGTGATTATAGACCTTAATCTGCTGCAAGAGGTTGATGCACATATCTAGATTTAATTTAATATAATTGAAATTAAATTTCTGATTCACAAGAACTTTAGTAATGTATTGTGTGAGAGCAAGTATCGTCAGAACAAATATCATAGATTTTTAACGTGTTCTGATGAGGTAAGATCCTCAACTGATCTACGCCGTTTTCAGCAATATTTCGTCAATATGTTAGCGACACTATTCTAAGAAAAATCTTACAGGGGTTTATACTGATAGGGTATCTTTCGATAATTATGATCATTTTACTGATTTTTTTTTCATCTAGCACAAGATATATGAGTCAGTCCACAGAAGCGACGGCCGATTTCCACAAAAGCTGCTTAGTTGAAGTCATCAGATTTTGATCAAGTTAGGATATCTGGTAGAGAGAAGAGTTTTAAGAAATTTTGACTCAAGCCGTTTGAAAAGATGTTGCTTTCCGCTCTCGAAATATTTAAATTTTTCGTAGGACACTATCACCAAAACAGCATTTTTTTTGTGGCACTCATATCTCAGAAAAAATATATCTATTTGACGTGGAATTTTACTGTGAATATATCTCAAATTGATGTATCTATTATCAAAAAGTGAGTTGAGGAGTTTATGTGTGAGTATGGGTATGGGTGGGTGTCGATGAAGAGCAGAAACCCATACCCCTCCACTCATCAATAGTTCACTGATTTCAACTCAGTTTTTGATGATAGGTACATCAATTTGAGACATCTGCAAAGTAAAATTGAAAGCTAAATAGATATATTTTTTGTGAGCTACGAATGTTACAAAAACAAAACACAAAACATGTGCTTTTTTTGGTGATAGTGTACTTCGAAAAATGTAAATTTTTCGAGAGCGGAGAGCAACATTTTTTCAAACGGTTTGCATTAAAATTCTTAAAACTCTTCTCTCTACAAAATATTCTAATTTTAGCAAAATCTGACGATTTCGACTAAGCAACTTCTGTATGAGTCGGTTATGGCTTACGTGAACTGACTCATATACCTTGCGCTAGATGAAAAGACCAGTAAAATGATTATAATTGTCGAAGAATTCCCTGCCAGTTCAAATCCTCGTAGGATTTTTCTTAGAATACTGTCTGCAACATATAAACGAAATATCGTTGAAAACGGCCCGAATCAGTTGGAAACCTTTCCTCATAAGTAGAAAATGTTCTATATCACAAATAAAGTACGAGTAATCTGTCTGTTAAAGAGTCTCTACAGTTGGATCGCATACTTTTGCGTTATTTCCTCAGAGCAGATATAAGGAGCTATGAACGAAGGAAAAACTAAAATCGAAAAATTTCCTTTTTTTTGACGAAAGGTTTGCCAATTAAGGATCTTCTTGCAGCAAAACAATATTAACATGTTTATATTCTCAAAGTATAAAAATGTTAGAAACAGTGAAATTAGTGCGTTGCTTACTTCTCACAAGCGTTTTAGTTATCGGTTTCTATTGTTGAAGTGATTGAAGTGCCTCCTTGTGTTGCTTATGCATATGGGATATCTGTCAAACTGAATCTTCATTACGCACTAAATAAGATCGTACCTGATAGTGCAGCTTGTTTAGTTTTTCGCCCACCACGCAAGCGACCGGAACTATGATAGCTGCTGCTATTATAATAAATAATATAAATAACAACAGGAACATCGTAGAAGATACCATTGTGATGCAAAGAAATTAGTCTGCGAAACAATGACAAATTTTAATCGAACTGAAACAAAAATCTTGTATATAGTTACTTGAGTGACATCAATCGAATTGAACTTTCTAGTTAGATGAAGAATATTTGTAAAGATTAAGGAACTCTCATTTGAACAGATACAATGATACGATTTAAAAAGTATGCTAATGAATGAACGAAATCATTAGAATATATTGTTACAGTTCAGTTGAAGAAAAATAGTGCAATGATAAGAAGCCCATACGATTGGTATTTATTAGACAATTTTTACTATTGAGAATTACTCTTTGGGTTCAATATTTTTTGTGATAACCGGATGATATGAACATTTTACGCAGGCTATATTATTCATGGGCTATCTGTTAAACACATAAACATTCAAGAACATCTTGAAAGTAGAGAATGACATACTTAATACTGAGGGCTCCTACAGTTGGCTTATGAATATTTAAGATTTTTCGTTTTTTTGTAAAATTGATCGAGCTCTACTTACCATAACGGAAAATCCAGAATATGTGTGGGTGTGAGTGAAGCGAACATACACCCACACTCACACCCATGGAACGATGATGGCGACAGTTAAGGCAATGAGCACGCACAGAGTTCACCAAAAAACCAGCCACTTTATAAGCTGTCACCCGCTAGTGTGAAGTGTCTCAAAGTGTCGAGTTTGAT